CCGTATATAAAGGAGGGGAGGAGGAGGCTGGCCAACAAGGGGCACGCCGGGGAGAGGGGAGTCCTACTAGGACTCCGGTCCTAGTAGGATTCGGCCCCACCCTTTTTTCCTTCTATCGGAGGGGGAAAAGGGAAGGAGAGGGAGTAGGAGAAGGAAAGGGGGGTGGCGCCCCTTCCCAAGTCCAATTCGGTGTCCTCCCTTGTGGGGGGCGCACCAGCCCCTTGTGGGCTGGTTAGTATCCCTCCTATAGCCCATAAGGCCCATATCTTTTCCCGGGGGGTTCCGGTAACCTCCCGGTACTTCGGAAAAATGCCTGAATCACTCAGAACCATTCCGATGTCCGAATGCAACCTTCCAATATATGAATCTTTACCTCTCGACCATTTCGAGACTCCTCGTCATGTTCGTGATCTCATCTAGGACTCCTAACAAACTTCGGTCATCAAATCACATAACTCATAATACAAATTGTCATCGAACGTTAAGGTGCGGACCCTATAGGTTCGAGAACTATGTAGACATGACCGAGACACATCTCCGGTCAATAACCAATAGCGGAACCTTGATGCTCATATTGGCTCCTACATATTCTACGAAGATCTTTATCGGTCAAACCGCATAACAACATATGTTGCTCCCTTTGTCATCGGTATGTCACTTGTCCGAGATTCGATCGTCGGTATCACCATACCTAGTTCAATCTCGTTACCGGCAAGTCTCTTTACTCGTTACGTAATGCATCATTCCGCAACTAACCCATTAGTCACATTGCTTGCAAAGCTTATAGTGATGTGCATTACCGAGAGGGCCCAGAGATACCTCTCCGACAATCGGTGTGACAAATCCTAATCTCGATCTATGCCAACTCAACAAACACCATCGGAGACACCTGTAGAGCATCTTTATAATCACCCAGTTATGTTGTGACGTTTGATAGCACACTAAGAGTTCCTCCGGTATTCGAGAGTTGCATAATCTCATAGTCATAGGAACATGTATAAGTCATGAAGAAAGCAATAGTAATAAACTAAACGATCATAGTGCTAAGCTAACGGATGGTTTTTGTCCATCACATCATTCTCTAATGATGTGATCCCGTTCAGCAAATGACAACACATGTCTATGGTCAGGAAACATAACCATTTTGATTAACGAGCTAGTCAAGTAGAGGCATACTAGGGACACTCTGTTTTGTCTATGCATTCACACATGTACTAAGTTTCTGGTTAATACAATTCTAGCATTAATAATAAAATTTTATCATGATATAAGGAAATATAAATAACAACTTTATTATTGCCTCTAGGGCATATTTTTTTTCAAAATGATGAGCAAAAAAAAGGGGAATCGAAAGAGTCAATGACGCACAAGCCTCATTTTTGTCATTGTTGATGCGTGGAGTTATTGTGACCGTGGTATGTGGATAGACTAAGAGCACATCTAACGTGGATCACCAAGTCGCCTAATGTCCGGACCAGACCATCTTGACAATTATTGCAATCCAATGACAGTCACCAAAAATGTTCGGACCGGTATGGACATCCAAAACCCCATAAACTAAAACCAAACGAAGATGCGGTTTGTGGACTTCCATTCCTCTGCCATGTAAGCCTCTGCCAACACGGACCAACACGCATTCTTGCCCACTGGCCGACTAGCTACCTGCCCGACATTCACACGGGCGGGTCGGCCGAGAATCCTACTCCTGCCAGTAACCGTATTGAAGCAAAGTCGGTCCGCCTGCCTCGGCTATTTAAGACATCCAGCAACAAACACAAACCCTACACTATCGCCTCTCCTGTCTAGTAAGACTAGTCACAATGGGGAGTAACTTAAACTAGTAACATCATATTTTACTAGGCTATGTTATTACCTCCACAATGGGTAGTAACATATGTGTGTTGTTATGTTATGGTTCATTTATTAGCCTATAGACTCATATTGTCTTGGTATGTGTGATGTTACAGTAACTAGCTAAGTTACCACCATCACCTCTCTCATTATTAAATATATGCCACATAAGCAAAATCATCTTGAAAAGTGTGATGTTACTAGTGATGTAACTCCCACTGTGGCCAGTCTAATCCCCACACCTCCAGCTCCAGCCGCTACGATGGACAAGTCAGACGGCTCGAAGTGGTTCTTTGTGACCCCCTCCGGATCCATAGGAGCTTCGGCCGCCACGATGGACAAGTTTGGCGGCTCGAAGTGGTTCTCCGCGACTCCCTTCGGATCCATGGGAGCTCCGGTGTCTCGCATCACCGACCGCGTTCTCTGGACCCGTCAGTGTCAACCGCTCCCTCCAAGGTCCCATCTCCTCGGACAACGAGGAGCAGCAATAGACGCCCCTCCTCGCCGGGCCCTCCACGAAGGATGAGGAGTTCGCGCGGCAGATGGAGCTGATGCTCGAGCGGTCTCGCTATGACTTCGGTCTGGCGCCGCCTTCCCAACGCTCTAGCGCAGCAACAACAACGTCCAAATGACCTCTGAGTGGCAGTTGCCTTCCAAACGACCTCTGAGTGATAATTGTCTTCCGCCACTAGCTCGGTGTTGGTGGGGGCGGCTCCTGTGACAGTTGCCTTCCAAACGGCTTCTGAGGCGGCGTGTCAGGCATCATTCGCGTGATGGAATGTCGCGCCGCCCTGGGTCCTAGTGGACCCGTGCTCATGGAGGCCTGGGACATTCATCAATTCAGCACCATTGCCGAGACCTCCGCCCGCCGCCGCCGCCATATAAGCATTTTTTTTTTGCAAAAACCTATATGAAACAAGAGTATTACAGAGGTCTGTGATAGCATCTCTGCTATCACAAAAATACTAAACATACGGGCCTCTTACATGAGTTTTACAGGCCCTTTCCTAATAATCTCTCCAGCCCCCTTGATTTTCACCCGGGTAGGGCCCGTCCCTCCCCCCTTAATCCAATCACAACTTGACAAATCAGTATCACTTCGTAAAACGCCCATAACCTTCTGTCGATGTAGCGATACTCACTGCTATACCCGGCCCGAAAAAGCCTGACCCGGCCCGGCCCGACCTTGTCCATGGACCGGGCTCGAGCCTAGGTTTTGAGCCCGAAGCCCGGGCCGGGCCGAGCCCGGGCCCGTCGATTTCGCCATTTAAAGAAGAGGCCCGGCCTGTGACCCGAGGTCCGACGGGCTTTTAGTATGATGGGTCGGGCTCGGGCCCGATTTTTAGGCCCGACGGCCGGGCCGGGCCGGGCTCGGGCCTGGGTTTTTTGCGTCGGGCTTTGGTTGGCCCGGCCCGGCCCGAGGAATGGCCAAGTATACTCGCTGCTATCACAAAAGCAACAGTCTCTATGCTGTGAACTCTACCTCTTCCAAAAAATGATTCAATTTTCTCTCTTATAATAAACATCTGTACGAGTTCCAAGAACAAGAAGAGGAATCTACCCTGCGGGTGCCCTGTGCGGTCAGACTCAACACGCGGCAAACAGTGTACGTGCTGACCACAAGTCCACAACACGCGGCGGTAAAAGTGCAGCAGAGGAGTGCCATCATTATTTTCGACTTGCGGTGAACGCCCAAATCCCCTGAGAACCCTCTCCCCGCTCTGCTCCGCTGCCTCTTTCACCTCGCCCAAACTTTCTCTCTTCGCTGTACTACTACTAGTTCCCACCCAACTTCAGTGTGGGGGTGCCCAAATCACGGTGCTCCATCAGGTTATTCGATTCATCCAAGCCCTCATTGATTCCGCACTGCGCATCCCGTGCCGCCATTTTGCTTTCGCTGCAATCTCAGGTTGAATCCGCCATTGTTGGTGTTTCTCCAACGACGCGGTGGCTGCGTGCGTGGTTTCTTCTTGCTCCAGCGGTTTCGCTTGAAGTGGCAGATGGGGTCCGCGTCGGTGCATCCGGATACGTCGCCTGGGTGGGTGGGGGTTTTCTTCTCGAAGCGGGGTGGGGATTCATCGGATGGTCCCAGGCTCCCAGCCTTAGTACTAGCAGATTTATTTCGAGCATTTTCTTTTCGCTCTTGTTAGTGTCCGCGTCCCTCCGCATATCTTTTTTCTTTTTCCTACAAAAAACACCTTTTTTCTTTGCGAGAAGCATCTCCTAAATACTTGCCGGTATAGGATCTGCGAAATCGATCCTTTTTGCGTTTAGGCTGCCGGCCGTTAAAAAATAATGGTAGAAGTAGAGTTTGTGATAGTCATAGTAGTACTTTCAGTTTGGATGTGTCGCTCTCATCTACTCTACATGAGAAATCTACGTGGAGATTTGCGGGGATTTCTTTCTTTAATTTATCTGTTTGGTTAATCATATAGTGTAGGAGTTAGATGAGACTTTGTTAATTCTGAGAATTAGCAAATCCATTTCAGTTTTGTCATATACTCCTTGCACTGAACACTTTCGCTTTGAATGAAAAGCTGGGCTTAGGCCTTTTCTCTAAAGATTTGCTCAGGTGTCCTACTCTTCCACCACGTGCAGATTTAGTTTACAGCAAGGTGCTGAAGCCATGTTCATTGTTTAAGCATCGATAACCGCTGGCATTGTGTAATTCTCCATCCATGCAAAACTTTGATTGTTGATACACTCCATAATGAAAAGAAACTTCACATTCTTTAACTACTTACTACTGATCATATATATTCTTACCGTGCTAAATACTACTCCCTCTGTTTTCACAAATATAAGATGTTCTTAACTTTTTTTTTCTGAATCGGATGTATATGGACACGTTTACTGTGTTTGTTCACTCATCTCAGTCCGTATGTAGTCCATATTGACATATCCAAAACATCTTATATTTTTGAACAAAGGAAGTATTTAATCTGTACTGGGAAGCATACAACAGAAGTGGAATTATCTTAGTTTCCCTAAGAGTAGAGAGATAAGCCCTGTTTGCTTCTCACTGTTTCCCCTTGTTGTGATCCTGTTATTTTCCCTCTCAGAAAGGGTTGTCTGGTGGATGGAGGGGTTTCCCTTCAAGTTCATTTCTTGATCATCTCTCGCGCCATCTTACTCTTTCAGGCTACACAATGGCGCTGATCGATTGGATAGAACTGAGTGATGATGCAGAGATTATTGAATTGAGCAGTAGCGAGGAGAATGTCGAAGAATATCAGGGAGCTTCCACACAGAGCAACTCAGCTCAGCACCAAGCTACATTGCATGATGATCAGACCATGTTTGTCACAGAAGGTGAACGAAGGGAAGAGGCTACCGAATCTGGAAATGCAGAGGAAGCTACTGCATCCTCCTCCGTTACTGAAAAAGAGTCTGGAAATCCAGAGGAAGCTACTGTATCAGAGACTTGTCCTCACACTCCAACAGCCGTTGTTACTCTAAAAGAGTCCAGAAATCCAGATGAAGCTACTGTATCACAAACTTGTCCTCACACTACAACAGCTGTGACGTTCCCCGGTATGTTCTTCTTCATTCCTCTCTCAGTTCAGTAATACGTTTATAAATTATAATGCAGTTAATCGACACTTGAGAAAACATTGCAACAATACATATTTCTGAATTAACAGCAACACCATCATAGAGCTACCATTTTCTTGCTGCAGGACCTGATCCCTTCTCTCCGAAGGCTCTGACTTTTCAAGCCTGTGTCGCCAAGCCGCGGAGAGCGAAGGCGAAACGTCGCAGGAAGCTCTTCCACGCCGATACACCTTGGACTTGGAGGAGCCCTAGGCTTGAAGACAAGCATAAAGGTCGTAGAAGGCCCGTGGAAGAGCTGGCAGTTGAGCGCAAGGCTTCTGCCATGCCGGAAGAAGAAGAACAGAAGAACACCTCGGCTAGGAGCCGGAGGAAATGCAAGGTGTTCGGCAAACGGTGTAACCTCGGCAGATAGCCTCCACTGATCCCGCAAAACTAAGGTAGTCGACTGAAGATGAAAGATGATCGTCTCGAAACTGTCTGGATTTTGGCGGTCCAGTTTGCCTCTCCTGTGACGCGGGAAGAATCACTAGTGTTGGTGGGGTTTGGTGGGGTCGTGTTGCCCTTGCTGCGCTGTCCATATGAGGGCGCTTGCGTTGGACCACTTGGGCACACTCGAAGTTATGGAACTACTATGTGGCTTACTGGACGCAGCTCTTATCGTGCAGTGAAGAAAATATGTACGTGCTCTTATCGTGCAGTAAAGAGATGTGTAGGACATAGATAAATCATGAACGTCAGGTTTTTGGAGTTTCAGCCCGAATGAGCTCAGCGCCGTTGGATATCTTGCACAAATCGTAAAGCAACCAGGGGCGCCATGTGCAGTCGTCTTGCACTGCCGCACCTCTCTCCCTTGTACTACCTTTCTCCGTTACCAACTCACGCGCCGCACGGGACAGAGGGGGAGAGAGGCCATGCGCAGGCGGCAAGGCGGTTTGTGTCGTACCAAGGGGGGCCATGTCGGAGAGGAGGCATGCGGCGGCGGAGACGAGGAGCGGGAGGAGGCGTGCAACGACATTGTCATTCGAATCCTCGGCGGTGGTGGGCGGAGGAAGTACTCGACAACGATGCCGGTGCGGCGTGCCGTATCGACGGCGGCAGAGAGAGCCTCACGCGAGTGGTGGTTGCCGGTTGTCAGGCCGAGGTATGGGGGGGTGGAGCTCGTGGGTGCCCTACGTCGATTCTTAAGTCAGAGGCTCATCGTCCCGCTGGCCGCCGCACCGCCACCGGTCGAAGAGGCCGCCTCCCCACGTTTGAAGCATGAGCGGGGGACGTCGGACCGGAGATTCAGGCACGGGCTGCAGGATCAAACTTCGGTTTGCTTCCTGTGTGAGAGGACACTGTGGATCACATATTTTTACAGTGCGTTTTGCACAACAGGTATGGTTTCTCAGGTGCACAAGACTTGGCATTGATCTTTCCATCTTGTCAACTATGACAGATAATCTTGAGGGATGGTGGACTAGGTCGAGGAAGAGAATCCACAAGACATACCGTAAAGGATTTGACGCCTTCTGCATCCTAGTTTGGTGGAACTTATGGAAGCAGAGAAATGGTCGAGTTTTTACGTCACACGCCATCACCAATGAATGGGGCACTGCCGAGCTGATCCATCAGGAACTCTTGCGTTGGGTGCAAGCAGGAGGAAGAGGAGTACAACATTTGATTGAGGAATAGTATGTTTGCGTGGGAGTGGTGTGTTTGATGTGCCAACCTTCTGTGGATGGCCGTCTTTTGTAACTCTTGTATATAATCTCTGCCTTCTATAAATCAATGGTACGCATTTTGCGTACTCTAAAAAAATGCATAAGCGGGGGCATTGTTGCCACCGCCCTGTTCGGTCGCGCGCGCCTACCAGCGGTCGCACCATGTGTGGAGCCATCGAGGCTGCCCGTCGCTGCGTGTAGAGGAGAGGCGCTCTGCGGCTGCCGTCCGAGGAGGACCACGGGATGGTCCGCGGTGGCCGAGCATGGAGGAGCACCAGCGCGTCTACAGCCTTGTTGCAGCTTTTTCACTTTGGTTAAAAAGCAATAAAAACTTTTAAATAAGTGCTTTTGAAGCTTTTTTGTCTTTTGATGAACCAATATAACAATATTTAGCTCCAAAAGCCATAAAAATTGTAAAACACCTATTTAGGAGCTTTTATGGCTTTTTGGCCAAAGTGAAAAAGCTGCAAAAGCAGAAGCAAAAGCCCAAACAAACAGGGCCTACGTCGCCTTCGCAGTTTCCTGCTTCGTCGCCGCACATGGAAGAGCACGCGTCATCAGTCCTTCGTCGGTCGTCAGTGCCTCTCCTTTCTCTCATTATCAGATCATTTTTTTGCTATGGAATATTCAGTTTACCAGATCAAGTTTACCACTATATTCAGTGTGTCTCCTTCAGAGGTAATTTACAAATTGTCCAAAGTTGCCATGTTTTCGGTGAATTAAACTTGACATCTCACCTAAATTATTAACCTGTCAACTATTTTTTTGCCATAGTTAATTTAGTGATGCTGCTGTTATCAAACAATCAATTGGTCAACAACTTTTTTTTGATCTGCCATGCTTGTGTCTTTTCTCTAGGGTACATTTACAGATTTTACATAATTGCCATGTTTTTGGTAAATCTATAGAGGTACTAAGCTCCCATGATTTGGAGCGCTCTGGTGTTTCAGGGGTTGTGGGGTCATTGTGGGACCCGCATGTAAGGTTGTTTGTTGCTTAGTTTTATTTCCCCTTCTCTCTTTAATTTTTTACAGGTTTTAATTCATGAGCGATTATTAAAATTTGTGAACGTTAAAAATAAAAATTAATTTAATTTTTTATCTTCATTAATATTTATTACATTCATGAATATTTTGAAGTTCATGGACATTTTTAAAGTTTATGAACATTTTTAAAATTTGAAACTTTTAATATACAGACATTTTTTAATCCATGAATATATTTTAAATTCATCAGCATTTTCTCTAATTCATGGTTTTGTAAATTCGTAATATTTTCAAAAATTCTTGAACATATTTTAATTGAACTAACCTATTTTTAAAAATAGTTTATTTTCTGAGCGAGTAGTAGAGCGAGTTGAAAAAAATAACCGACTAAGAGGAATAGGGAGTCAAGCTAAGCGAGTGAGAGCTCGTGGGCTGATCCATGTGTGTGTTATAGCAGCAACTCCACGATTTTGGCGTGGAATGAGACCTGTCAAGAGGCTCAAATAACCATCACCAGCTGACATCGAAACCGACACATAATTTTAGCATAGAATATGACCTCTCAAGAGACACCACAACGATGCACAACAGAAACTTCATTCTCCTTTGGGGAATATCGTCTCCAACAAGAACCCGACATGATATACAAACGAGAAAAAAGACCTCCATGGCGTAATTAAAACACAAGTCAACATTGATAAAATCCAAACAAAACAACCGACCATAACAATCTATTAGATATAAAAGAATCAAGCCCACGAGTGAAGAACGGTGCGGCAAAGCACGCGTTAGCCTCTAGTCATGCTTGATATGCCATGATTGATCTGCCATGATTGATCTGCCATGCTTGTGTCTTCTCTCTAGGGTGGTACATTACAGATTTTACATAACTGTCATGCTCCTATGTAGGAATACAATAATTTGGTAAATTTGCCATGTGTCCAATACAAATTATTTAACTTTTTTTGCCATAGTCACTATAGATTTTTCTTTATGAAACTGTGATGTGTTTTGCCTTGGCAACTTAACATATATTGGCATGGTAAATTTTGGGACCGTCGTTGAAGGAAATATGCCCTAGAGGCAATAATAAAGTTGTTATTATATTTCCTTATATCATGATAAATGTTTATTATTCATGCTAGAATTGTATTAACCGGAAACTTAGTACATGTGTAAATACATAGACAAATAGAGTGTCACTAGTTTGCCTTTACTTGACTAGCTCGTTGAATCAATGATGGTTATGTTTTCTAACCATAGACATGAGTTGTCATTTGATTAACATGATCACATCAGTAGAGAATGGTGTGGTTGACTTGACCCATCTGTTAGCTTAGCACGATGATCGTTTAGTTTGTTGCTATTGCTTTCTTCATGACTTATACATGTTCCTATGACTATGAGATTATGCAACTCCTGAGTACCGGAGGAACACTTTGTGTGCTACCAAACGTCACAATGTAACTAGGTGATTAAAAAGGTGCTCTACAGGTGTCTGTGATGATACTATTGGGGATCGTAGCAGAAATTTAAAATTTTCTACGCATCACCAAGATCAATCTATGGAGTAATCTAGCAACGAGGGGAAGGAGAGTGCATCTACATACCCTTGTAGATTGCTAAGCGGAAGCGTTCAAGTGAACGGGGTTGATGGAGTCGTACTCGTCGTGATCCAAATCACCGATGATCCTAGCGCCGAACGGACGGCACCTCCGCGTTCAATACACGTACGGAACGGAGACGTCTCCCACGCCTTGATCCAGCAAGGAGGAGGGAGAGGTTGAGGAAGAGAGTCCAACAGCAGCACGACGGCGTGGTGGTGATGGAGTGGCAGTTCTCCGGCAGGGCTTCGCCAAGCTCACGCGGAGGAGGAGAGGTATTGGAGGGGAGGGGTTGCGCCAGGTTCAAGTGGTCTGGCCGCCCTCCCACCCCTCCACTATTTATAGGTGGGGAGAGAGGGGGCCGGCCCCCTTAGATCCCATCTAGGGTTGGGGGCGGCGGCCAAGGGGGGGGGGGAGGAGTGCCTCCCAAGTCAAGTGGAGGCCCTCCCCCTTAGGGTTTCCCCTCTCCCATGCGCATGGGCCTTGGGGGGCTGGTGCCCTTGGCCCATTAATATTAGGGCTCCCCCCTACAGCCCATGCTATTGTATTGGACATGGTGGAACATTTTCCGGACCCCTTCGGAATCCTCCGGAAGCTTCCCGATACAATACCGGAAAAAACCGAACTTTTCCCGGAAGCCGAACAACAACTTTCCATATATAAATCTTTACCTCCGGACCATTCCAGAAATCCTCGTGACATCTGGGATCTCATCCGGGACTCCGAACAACATTCGGTAATCACATACAAGTCTTCCTAATAACCCTAGCGTCATTGAACCTTAAGTGTGTAGACCCTACGGGTTCGGGAACCATGCAGACATGACTGAGACAACTCTCCGGCCAATAACCAACAGCGGGATCTAGATACCCATGTTGGCTCCCACATGTTCCACGATGATCTCATCGGATGAACCACGATGTCGAGGATTTAATCAATCCCGTATTCAATTCCCTTTGTCCAGCGGTATTGTACTTGCCCGAGATTCGATCGTCGGTATCCCGATACCTTGTTCAATCTCGTTACCGGCAAGTCTCTTTACTCATTCCGTAACACATCATCCCGTGATCAACTCCTTGGTCACATTGTGCACATATGATGATGTCCTACCGAGTGGGC